CCATTTCCCCTTACCTCACTTCTCTGGGTAATGGTGGAGAAAGCCATCTGCCTGGTTAATCAAATCCCTCCAGTAACAAGAAAGACATTTCAACAGCTGAGATATGAGCCTATATTAATAATAGGTAATGTTTACTGAGCACTTACTATGTGCCCCACGCTGTGAGAAAGACTTTACATGCATTTTCCTATTTAATCCACCCAACAATCCAAAAATGGAAATGCTGTTGTTATCTATTACAGCTAAGGAAACAGACTTACGAGATACGTTTGCCCAGCTATGATGCCCCTGCATGTAGAGCTGGAAAAGATGTGGAGTCAGCACTCAAGTGTGTATATGAGCTGGCTCCAAAGTCCTGTGCTCCGAACCACTAAGCTTCACTGTTCAGCTGGCAATCCTTCCTTCTACTGTCAGTGTTCTTGTTTAAAGAGAAGAGGAAGGAATGTCCATCTTCCCGTTTTCCCAAAGGAAGCTGTCCTACAAGGCTGAAAGGAGTAACAGCCCAGCATTCATGCATGCAAGGTAGCCAAGAAGGCTGAGAGCCTAGGGATGGGGAAGCGTTTGGGGGAATAAAACAGAGTCACACAGAAGTTGAGTTCATTCTCTTCAGGGTCCTAAATATTAACCTGAGTACAGTGGGAGCTAGAGGGGAGAATCAATTCAGGAAATCCAAAGTGATTAATTTCAGTCTTGGCGTAATGGACAAATTATGGCACAGAGGCTACTGCAAAAGGGTTCTGAAGCTGATTCTGATTATTTGACACTGTTGCCCTTGTCTGTATCTGTTCCATCCTTCCAGGTCTCCCAACCCCCAATTAGTCTTTTGATTCCTAGTGCCAATACCTTAGGCCAGTGTAAACTGGAAGCTTTTAAAGGTTTTGTTTGTTTGCTTGTTTGTTTTGAATCTACATTTTAAAGTTGAGAGATTTCACATTTAACAAATCAGGACTTTCAGCTTCTCTTTAAAAAATTGGAAGATATGGCCCAAATTCCCACATAGGGCAATCAAGGATAGTGGCTACCCACTCTGGACAGGGTATGTATCCTCCATTTCTTCACAGTCCCTACCACTCCCTATTGCCTCATTCATTTACAGTATCTGCAGGTTTTTAGAATTTGTCACTGGTGCCTTAGACCTTTACAAGTAGCTCTGGCTACTTACAGCCAGATTGATTATGGCTTTGGATTTAATAACTTGCTCATGCGAGAACATTGCATGAATTCCCTCTACACACACACACACACACACACACTTCCCATCCTGTCCTTCTGCTAATATAAAACTCTTGGTAGAATGATCTCAGAGCCCATCTGTATGGGTGATCAGATCACATTTCTGGGAGCACCCTGGCTCTGCAATGGATGCATAATTCTCTTTAGAAAGTGGACTGTCCACAGGGCTCTGGGCGCTTCCTCTTGTTATATAGCTGCCTGAGGTCACCGCCAATAAATTACTGGTTTAAGGAAAACAATGACAAGCCTTCTCCATGGAGAACAGAGTTTTCTCACTCAATTATTTCCTAAAGTCATGCCCTCTTTCCCAGCTTGACACCATAATTTTTGAGGTAGCAGCACTGAGTCTGTTTGTTGTTTGTTCTTCAGATCCACACACCATACCTGCCACATGAGCCCAGCAAACTCTGAGAGTAATACATCCTCCTGGCAGTGGAATTAGTCAAGTTATGATCATTGCACTGTCAATTAAGTGGCTGCTTTGTTAAAATGACTTACCAGAGTGACTCTAAATTGGCTGTATTTGTTTACTAGTCTAGCTTTTCTCTTTGTAAAGGCAATTTCGTTAACTGTTTTTGACTGCTACAGAGCTTCAATGGAAATCATGAATAATCTCATTTTAGCGAAATCAGACCTTTTAGAAACTCAAGATATGACTTAAATTTAGGATAAAAATGGTACCTGGAAAACCAGTAATAATCTTCCTAAATTGGTATATAGCTGCAAGATGGAAGACAGGTTTATTTGCCAAAGTCATTTTTCACCCGTAGGTGTTGGTGACACAAGGAGCTGGGGAATGAGGAGTGGGCTGGGTGCAGTGGCAGTGGGGTGGTGGACCATTTCTCCCACCTAATATCAGCTTGGAAATAGTTGACATTTGATAGCATTGTCACTTTGAGATATGTAACCCTCTGTTAGAATTACATGGCCCTTGAGAAATAGCTTCCTTTTTAAAAAATTACTTGGGAAAATATTAACTTTGTCCCTTTGAGTATCCCCTACTGCCATCAAGGAAGTTGGTATTTTTTTTCTCTGTCAAAAACAAAAGTGGCAATTTTTCTTTTCAGAGACAGGGGAGGGCCCAGGGAGGGGACAGGGGGACCCGGTGCTTTCAGAAGACCTTTGATGCAGCTGCCTCCTGCCATCCACCATCAGGAGGAGGTCTGTCCCTAAGCTTTCTCCCCAACTGGCTTTGAGCCTATCTGGGGACAGAGTACAGCTTTCTGTCATACACAGACAGATAACACACACACGCACACAAGCTCACACACAAACCAACCAGCTGCAGAGCGAGCAACAGGAGGTGGCAGAATGCTTGCCACTGTGTCACTGGATTTGTAAGCATCCCCTCCAAACCACGGCCAAGACTAGTTATTCCCTGGGCTAAAGCCAGCCTGAGAACTTGGGGACCCTGCCAAGCCCTGACAGCCCCTAGGCCTAGCTCTGTTGCCAGAGCCACACAGGGAAGTCATTAATTCGTTAAACAAAGCTTCAGTAAACGATTAAGGAGTCCATCATTTGTTCATCAGTGGCTAGCTGCATAGAGGATATCTGAGCATTCACTTTAAGGAACCTAGACTATTTGGGGGAGAGAAGAAAAGCTATACACTCATTTTAAAATTGAATATTGTCACAAGAGATGCCACTCAAAGTAGCATGTAAGTAAACGCCAAATGACCTTTCAGAGGAAGGAGTTTCAGACGGTGAATCTCAGCATCAGAGAAAGCAGACACTGTGATGTAGTGGAGACAGCCTGGGCTTTGGAGCCAGACGGACTGGGTGCAGATCCTCACTGTGTGATCACAGCCAAGTTCCTCACCCTCTCTGGACTTCAGTCTGCTTACCTGTGGAGTAGAGGTGGTACATGCCTTCCAGAGTTGTTGAGGGGATTATATGAGGTGGGCTGCATATTACAAGCCTTCAATCAATGTTTGAGTTTTTTGTTCTGCTTTGTTTTTAAGAACATCAGAGCGTTTAAAAAATCAGTTCAGGTAGGATTAGCCCAGAGGAAAATGACCTGAGACCATTCCTTAGAAAGAGGAAAGGACGACTATCATAGAAAAAGTATTCATGTCTAGCGAATACTTTAGGAAGTGGAAAGGTATGAGAAAGGATTGTTTCCTTTTTTATCATATTGACTTTTTCCTGAACATGAAAATGTTTCACATCTATAGGAAATTTGGAAAGCACAGTAAAACGCAAGGAACAAAGTAAAAAATCAAATATAATTCTGTACCCAATGAAAACTCCTATAAACACTTTGGCTTTCCTTCCAACCTTCTCCTAATTTTAACATAACTGAGATCACACTATATACACAGTTTGGAATCCTGGTTTTTGTACCTAATGTTTCATAAGCATTTTCCTCTGTCATTAAAAATTCTTTGCAAACATCATTTGCAATGGGCATATGGAATTCCACATATGGATGTACCAACGTTTTCTCAGCTATTCTAGTGGACACTTAGGGCTGTTCAGATACTTCACTATTATAAAAATGCCTCTGTGAACGTGAATACTTTTGTTGCAAAATCCTATTTCTTTAGGATAAGTTTCCATAGAAACTTATGGAATTACTGTTCTAAGGTTCCTGCTGAATATAAAGTGTTTTCCACAAAGGATTGTCCCAACCCACATTCCCACCAGCCACAGGTGAGAGACAGTTGGTCTTATCAAATCCTGAGACCCAATATTATCTTTGCAAAGAAAATTTTTTGCCTAATTTGATAGTCACGAAATAGCATTTCATTGTTCTCTTAACTATCTTCTTCCTTCTAGCAATATACCTAAAAGGATGTAAAGGAGTGCTCAGATAAAGGAAAGGAGCTTTCTTTTGTCTGCAAACAATCAACAAATATTTATTGTGCAAATCATTTTACTCTGGATTTACCTTCTCTCCCCTTTTTGGGTGGGTTTGGGAGATTCCACTTTTCAGGTTTTAGCCATTGTGAAGATAAGAGTTTTGAGGTACAATGCTGCTGACATTCTGGGTCAAAACATACTGATTCTGCCACTACTAAGCTTCAAGAAAAGCAAGCCGTGGAACCTGTCTGAAACTCCAGCCCTTCAGCCAATAGGATGCCTGTCCTACCTAGTTTATGGAAATGTGAAGATCCCGACATTTTATTAATGATTTATCAAAATTTAAAGTGCTTTTAAGACTTAAAAAAAATTCTACATAACATAATATTATGTCCGATTTTATCCCATCATTATTGTGTCCTAAATTGACAGTTTCTGAGAGTCCCACCTCGTAACTCCAATATCAGCTTTCAGTAGATGAGGACCTTCACCGACAAATATTAGGGAAAGGGTCCAGACAAAAGAGGAAAAGCTTATGCTCTGTACAGATACAGTTCCCAGCCTACCCACTGTCTCTGGAACACCTCCAGATTGAAAGGTTTCATCTGGAAGAAAAAGGGGGTGGTGCTTAAGGTCCAGTCTGGGCAAGCCCTCTTCTCGCGAGGGTCCCAGGGTGGGAGGCGTCTGGAGTGCCCGTCGCAGTGCAACCACCTCTCCCGGCGGCTGACGCACCTCGGTCCCCGCTGTCACTCCTGCGGTCACCCCCGCCTGCGGTCGGTCGCACTATTTCTCGGCCCCGTCCCTCACTGGGTCCCCGGCCCCACCCAGGCTCTCCGTGGGTGGGAAGTGGCGCGATACTGGAAAGCACTGTCTAGGCGCCCACTGCAAACCCCAGCCGTCTGGGGTTAAGCGTCCAGATTCCACCCCAACTCCACCCCGCCCTGCTCTCCAACCTAACTTCTTACCGCTGCCAAGGCTTGTCCTCCGTATTGGGTCGGACTGCAGATGCGGGGCCGGTAGATGTGGGTTCGAGTCCGCTTGGAATCTCCTGCCAGCCCTGGCATTTCATCTCTGCAGGGCTCCTTCCTGTTTCCTCCGCCTGGGGGCTTTGCCAGGTTCACCGCTGTATCCCCAGCGCCTGGAACAGTGCGTGGCATGCAGTCAGCCCTCACTAAATATCTGTTGACTAGATGCATCTCTGTAATGGTAACACCCACAGGGTGTTGTGGGAATGAATGATTCTGTGCAAGTACCTTGTGATATGTTACAAAAGTACTATTCGCTAAGTTTCTCTAAGAGAACAAAGCATATATATATATATATATATATATATATATATTTTTTTTTAAGTACTATTCACGAATTGGTTACCCGGGAATACATACCTACTTCTCTATCACAGCCTCCCCCCAGAATTATGCCAAATCATCCTACCTTCTTCTGAAATTGTTTCCTGACTCTAGTACTGTTACTGTGGATGTGCATGCCTAGTTATACACAGTTGTGCTCTGAAGAAAGAATCTTTACTTATTTCATTTCCTGAATGGATTGCATGTGCTGAAAGAGCAGGGAGTGGAGTCAGATGTTGGACCCGATGCCAGCATTGCCGCCTATTGGTCGGGTTACTCTGGCAAGTCATTTCCCCTCTCTGGACCTCAGTGTCTCCATCTGTAGCCTTCCCGGGTCTGGAATGCCACCCACGTGAGCAAGGATAGACGCTCCACACAGGGACGCGTCGGTCGCCCGCGCTTTCAACCTCCCTGCAGGCGCATCCTGCTTTCCCAAGTTGCGGCACGCCTCCGGGGCGCCCTCCACAGCTCTAGACTCACGAGGTGATCGCGAGCTAGAGCTAAAGGGAGCCGCTGAGGGGCTTCCCTGGCTTAGCCTGCGGGGGCTGCCTGAGTGCTTACCCCCTCGCCCCTCCCTCGCGGCCTCCACCCGCTCATCTGCCCCTCTCCCCCCCCACCCCGCCTTTCTCCCCGCCCCGCCCTCCCGCCCACCCGCGCGGCGCATGCGCCGCCCGCGGAGCGTGTTTTTATAAAAGTCCAGCTTCCACTGGAAACTTCAGTTTGTTGGCTGTGGCAGCAGGTAGCAAAGTGTCTCCTAGGACTTGAGTACTCCGGTAGCCCCCGCGGCTGGAGAGCAAGCGATTACCATGGACGGGTTCCATGTAAGTCGTTTCAACCTGCTTTTACTTAAACGTATTACAAACACATGAATTTAGAGCGCAACCCCTCTCCGAGCGGGCAGAAACGACCAGAATATTGGAGGTGCCCGTGCCCCCGAGAAGGGGCATAGAAAGGAGTTTTCGTGCGCTTGGCTACGGTCGGGGTGGAGGGGTGGGGTTGGACTGAAATCTTTTTCTAAGTAGAGGAGAAAAGATGGGAACGACCGTTTTCGTTGGCTGCATGGATCTCCCCCTTGAGTTCTGCGGCGCGCGCCGGGTTTGCACGCTGTTTGCAAACAGAACATTCTGTGCACAAGTGCAGAGAAGATGTGCGCGCTGCCAGAGACCGTGGGTCTCTTACTCGGGGGAGTGGGGGTTTCTTTTGGAGCGAATTACATGATCTGAATTTGGAGGTGGAGGGCGGCGCGCCGGGGCTGAGTTCCCAGAGGGAGACTGCGCCCCTGGTTAACTTCAGGAGCAAAGGCGCCTGGGGACCACTCTTGGTGTTGGGCGCGTGTTCGCTAAACTCTGCTGCCCGCGGAAATGTGCCAGTGCCCGGGCACTGGGAGCAGAGGGCGGACCCACCGTGCCGCTTGGCTGAGGTGTCTGCGCGTTGGCCGCAGCAGGGAGGTGGCCGGGAGCAGCCCGCGCCACTGAGGATCGAGGGAGAGACATCGCGGGCGTCGCCAGCGCCGCGAGTGGGCCCCGGGCTTCTGGAGTTGGGGGTCGTGCAGAAGTTGAAGGAGTATATAAACGGTCACGGTGCAGCAGCACCCCGAGGTGTGCGCGGCGGGGACTAAGGGTGGAGTGAAGGGCTGGGAGGGCACCTGGGCTGCCGGTAGTTGCGGCGCAGACACGCAGGTGCAAGTGGGGACAGTTGGGCTCTCACCGAGCCCCGTTGCGCCAGTTAACCGTCGGTGGTTTCCTGGAGCCTTTTGAAATCCCCTTGGTAGGGAGGCTTTTCGTTTCCCCCAGCGGCGCGCGATTCAAAGGCTCCCGCGGCGGAGCAGCCCAATCTCTCCCCAGCACCCTGCAGGACCGCGCCTGGCGTGCGGCGGGGCCAAACCGTTGGAGCCACTGCCTGCCGGCGGTGGGCGTGGTGGGCCGCGCGGAAGGCTGGAGCTGGACCACCCGGCCCCCAGCGCGCCCTCCGCCTGGAGGTTTCCAGCTTGCAGACCTCCCACCCCATTAACTGGATCCGTGGCGGGATGGGAAGCGACCCGGGAGAGTGAGGAAATGAAACTCGGGGCGAGGACCACGGGTGCAGACCCCGTGACTTTCCCCTCCCATTAAAATGCTGTGCTCGCTAACGTCCCAAAGGCGCCAAGTGATAAACATGGGTTTGGCAGAGAAACCCACGCCCCTGAGCGGCGCCGGTGGGAGTGAGGGTTCCCCGCTTCTGACACCCCACCCCCGCCCTCAAGCACCAAAGCCCTTCGTTTAAGACCGCATTCCCCTTCCCCACTACGTGTTGCTTGAAGTACGGAATGGTTTGTGTTTAGACAGTCGTGGAGAAAACAGTGTTTCATGCCTTAGAATAAGAGTCTTTGGGACCCCGCAGTGCTTCTTCCTCCCCTCTTCCCTCTCCTGGCGAATCTTCATAGAGAAAGTTAATCCCAGCTCCTCGGAACACAAGGTTCTACCCCCAGTCCCACCATCATGCCGCCTAGGAGTGGCCTCTTTGTGTTTTGTTTTGGTTTTTTTCCTCCCAAGGTTTTTCCTTCCCTCTAGTGGGCGGGGCAGAAGAGTTAGCAAAGATGTGACTTTGGAACCCAAAGAATCTCATCGCCCTCTTGTTTTGAACAAAGAATTTTGTAACTGGTTCTCCTAATGAGGGATATAATGAAGCGACTATGGGGGAAGATGGCAGGAGAGTTGTAGGAGTCTAGAATAATTCCCTTGTGCTCTGACCCCAGTACTTTAGTGGGAGCAGAATTTCCTGAAGCAGGCCGGGCTGAGTTGGTTTTTATAAATTGCTTTTTTAAAATACCAGAAACATTGTTTGGAACTTCGGGAATGCCTGCTGAACTTGAAAGTGAATGTCCATTCCCTTGCCTTTTTCAGATATTCTCTTCAGATAATTACACAGAGGATGACTTGGGCTCAGGAGACTATGACTCCATAAAGGAACCCTGCTTCCGGGAGGAAAATGCCCATTTCAACCGTATCTTTCTGCCCACTGTCTACTCCATCATCTTCTTGACTGGCATAGTGGGTAACGGATTGGTCATCCTGGTCATGGGTTACCAGAAGAAACTAAGAAGCATGACAGACAAGTACAGACTGCACCTGTCTGTGGCAGACCTCCTCTTTGTTCTCACACTTCCCTTCTGGGCAGTTGATGCCGTGGCAAACTGGTACTTTGGGAAGTTCCTGTGCAAGGCAGTCCATGTCATCTACACAGTCAACCTCTACAGCAGTGTCCTCATCCTGGCCTTCATCAGTCTGGACCGGTACCTGGCTATCGTCCACGCCACCAACAGTCAGAGGCCAAGGAAGCTGTTGGCTGAAAAGGTGGTCTATGTTGGTGTCTGGATACCTGCTCTCCTGTTGACTATTCCCGATTTCATCTTTGCCAACGTCAAGGAGGGGGATGGGAGGTACATCTGTGACCGCTTCTATCCCAGCGACTTGTGGTTGGTGGTGTTCCAGTTTCAGCACATCGTGGTTGGCCTTATCCTGCCGGGTATCGTCATCCTGTCCTGCTATTGCATTATCATCTCCAAGCTGTCCCACTCCAAGGGCTACCAGAAGCGAAAGGCCCTCAAGACCACAGTTATCCTCATCCTGGCTTTCTTTGCCTGCTGGCTGCCCTACTACATTGGGATCAGCATCGACTCCTTCATCCTCCTGGAAATCATCCAGCAAGGGTGTGAGTTTGAGAGCACTGTGCACAAGTGGATTTCCATCACCGAGGCCCTAGCCTTTTTCCATTGTTGCCTGAATCCCATCCTCTATGCCTTCCTTGGGGCCAAATTTAAAACCTCTGCCCAGCATGCACTCACCTCTGTGAGCAGAGGGTCCAGCCTGAAGATTCTCTCCAAGGGAAAGCGGGGTGGACATTCTTCTGTTTCAACTGAGTCAGAGTCTTCGAGTTTTCACTCCAGCTAACACTGGACTTTTATACATTAAAGAACTTTTTCTGAAGTTACACATTTTTTCAGATATAAAAGACTGACCAACACTGTACAGTTTTTATCGACTGTTGGGACTTTTTTTCTTGTGTGCCTTTAGTTTTTGTGAGGTTTAATTGACTTATTTATATAAATATTTTTTGTTGTTGTTTCATGTTGATGAGCGTCTAGGCAGGACCTGTGGCCAAGTTCTTAGTTGCTGTATGTCATTGTAGGACCGTAGAAAAGGGAACTGAACATTCCAGAGTGTATAGTGAAATCACTTAAGCTAGAAAGTATCCTCAGCTGTTTGTAAATAAATAATCTGTCCATTCCAGTGGAACATTTTCCTCTTCCTGCTCTTAAATTGTTAGGTTACACTATGTGATTTTGCTGTAGAAGATGGCACTTTTAACCAAAGCTTGAAGTGGTATAGAAATGCTGGTTTTTCAGTTTGCAGGAGTGGGTTGATTTCAGTACCTACAATGTACAGCCTTGTATTAAGTTGTTAATAAAAGTACATGATAAACCTACTTAGTGTTATGTTCTGATTCCTATTGACATTCCTTTGGCTGGCAGAAGTCAAAAATAACAGTAGATACCTGCATGGTATGTCAGATCCTGTCCTAGGTATTTTAGTTGTAATATTTTACTTAATCCTTACCACAACTCTATGACAGGCTCTGGTTCTATTACTACTAACATTTTGTAGAGCAGGAAACCAAAGTACAGAAAGCCTAAGTGACTTGGTCAAAGTATAGTAAGTAAGCACAATGAATATCTCAAACCAGGTAATGTGACTTCAGTATCTGAAGTCTTAACCACTCTTAACTCATGGAAGTTTAGAAATATCCAGCCAGTACATATTCCTATGAAAGATAATCTTCCCGAAGGATAAATGTGCATAAAGAAGAAAAGGTATGCAATCCCATGTTTTAGATTTTACTACTATCATCCCCTTGTGTACTCCAGGTCTGTGCCAGCCAGGCATTGTATGCTCTTCTCATCTGCGCCTCTCAATCTAGATGTCGTCACACCCTTTTGACAGGCAAGGAGACTGAGGTTCAGAGACTTGCCATAACTTGCACTTTCAAGGGGACATAACCAGGAGCTGACTCCATTCATCCTTCCAGCCCTTGTTCTTAACCATTACCCACTGTTGTCCCCCAGAACACCTGGTCATAAGGCAACTGAACTGCTATTGAAAATAAAAGCCAGAAGTGAATGTTTTCTTCATAAAATTAACCATGCCCAAAATACCCCTCTTGCAATATCTTCTATGCAAATCTCAACACTTAATCTATTGCAACATCTAGCACCTCAAGGGTTCAGCCAAGCAGATAAAAGTTAAATTGGTGCTTTCAGAGCTGAGAAGAAAGGTCCATTGATGCAAGCTCCCCATTGCCCACGTTTTGCACAAGATTTTGGAGTCTTATGTAACATCACCCGTAGCTATTTACACTACCATTGTGCAAGCCCCA